ATACATAGCAAGTAGTTGAAAAAGACTATGGCCTGAATCAGAAATACCTTAGTCTTCAAACTGACATTAGAACTCCCTCTAAAGTTTATACACTAGAAAATCTTCTGGGACAATTCTACTCTTTCACAAGGGCTTGTATGAAGCGAAAATCAACTAGATGGTACTTAACAACCATCTAGCTATCTGTGCGTCTATCTGTTGCTGTTGCTAAGTGCCCTTGAGTCAGAACCAACCCATAGCTGACCCTCTGGTGGGTTGTCAGAGGCAGTTTATCATATGGGAGGGGATTGCCTATCCCTCTCCTGTGAATTCGAACCACGTGCCTTCAGGATTGCAACACACTAGATAAATAGATGTTTCTTAATATTTTCTCTCTAACCTTACCTCCACCTGCTTTGTCCCAGGCTGAGCACAGCTTCCTAGAAGGAGAGCACTTCACAACCACTGCAGAGAGGCAGGCACTGTTACAAGCTGCAGGGGTCTTCAGCTTTGCTCCGCTGCCCCAGGACAAAAGCAGAGATTCCACTCTTTGTTCCCTTGCTCATCTCCCAACCTTTCAGAGGTCACAGGCTATGATGTGTTGATGAAAGCTCTTGTCCTTTAGACTTTGCCTCAGGACTGTGAGAACTATACACCCAAAGGCCCCCATGATCTTCCAGAGAGATGAGCAAGAAAATGAAGGGCCAGAAGGGGTCTAATTCTTGAACAACCAGAGCACCAATGTAAGACATCTCTCATGTTCACATTTCTTTATTCTTTCACTGAGCAACTCCTATGTGTCTGCCCTGCTGGGGAAGGATGCACATGGGTGGAGAATTCCAGTACTGGCTGTTGACCCAAGGAGAGTCATCCAGCCCTATGGGAGGGAGGTGGGAGAGAATGACTGTCCCTTTGCCTGGAAGGGGCAGGGCCAGCTGAGCTGGACTTGAACAATGAGTAAGACAATTTCAGACAGGTTTTCGGTTATAAGAGAGGGTCTTCTATGTGGCGAAACAACACTGGTAAAAACACAGAAGCATAGAAGAGAAGAGTATTCAGAGAAAAATGAGGCTTTCCAAGAGTGGCAGGGGTACACCATAGAGATTCCTGAGACAGGGCACTGTAAGCCAGAGCTCATACGATTTAAGGCTGCGCTGCTAATCCAAATACCCACAGTTTGCAATTTGAGTCTGCCAGCTGTTCTGCTGGAAAAAGATGGGCAGATTCCCTCCTACACAATTTATTGCCCCTGAAAACCTGTTGGAAGGTCAGCTTCCAATTTGATGGTACATAACAAGAACAAAAACCATCTGAAGAAATGAAAACAAAAATACCTTTCCTTTTACACGGTTTATAAAGACACGACAAGTGTTCCTCTTGGGACGTAGAAAGCAGCCCGTACAAGTGAGGGGGCAGAAGTCATTGAAGATAGTGCCCAGGTGAACCCCTTCCCAGACACACTGCAGCTACAGGTGATCAACAGGAACTGAGGGGAGGGGAGGGTGGAGACGAATGAAGGAACACAAAATTGTATCTGTGTGATACAAAAGGAAGGCATCAGGGTGCAAACTCTGTGGTCTTATGGACAAGAGAAAAAAGTGTTCTTAACACTGGAGACAGTTGTGGGCCCAGGACTGCAAAATATACCTGGCTTTCTGGTAGAGACTGTTATACCCATAGCTAAGCAGAAAGGCAAGAGCGGTCCTGTCACCTGCTTGTTTTCTGACCCTCCCAGAGGCAAGGACACCACCACCACCCTACAGCATGTTTTGGAATAGAATGTCTGACAGTGTTAGGACCATGTCATGGCAGATACTCTCAGACAAGGACAGCACACCACCCCCTACTACCTTTGTCAGTCAGCCCAGAACTCTGCAGGCCACCATGGTCAGTTGACTGCAGCAATGGGGAATGGATGACAGTGTCTTCAGTTATTGAGCTCTTGGCCTGTAATTTCCTTGTGCTCTTTTTTTTTTCATGACCTGTGATAAATACGAAGTGTGCCGCCAATAATTCCATAACATGGTAAAAGCCCTGAAAAGGCGATCAAGCCTCTGGCTGTGAGATGGTTTGGGTGAGGACGCCAAAAGCTCATCTGACTGCGTATGTACTGCAATCCCACGTTCCCCAACTAAGTGGTGTGAGACTCACATCACCCACTCCCACCAGGACCTCAGTGTTCCTGTCTGTGAAATGGGATAGATGGAAAATGGAGCTCCAGCTGGGACTGTGGGTGAGAAATTGCCCATAAAACATACTGTAAAATTCCGTACACCTATAAAGGGCTATTAAAGTAATGAACATAGATTAGTTTCATAATTGAAGGATGAACATATGCCACTTGGCCCTCCCAAGATCCACTCCTTGGCCTGGAGGGCCTGGGGAAACACAAGGCTACCCTTGACTTGAACATGTAACAACTGCTGTAGTGCAGAGTGACCTGCACCGAGACTGAATAATCAGTAGCCTTTTCCAGTTCGTTTTTGGCTGGCATCATAATCCTAACCCTTACAAGACGCTGAGTTACACTGCCAATCCATGCATTCTCCAGCTTCCTCTACAATGTTCCACAGGCCCTTGAGAGTCTGCTCTTTGTTATTATACCATGCCCATCGATAACAACAAAGAGGGTAATCTATGTATTTCTCAAGATTATTTTAAGAGAAAGGGGAGTGAGAGTTTCGTAGTCTTAAGGAAGTAAGTCTTGAGGCAAATCTTACTTTTAGCCTGATAATCACCTCATTTCATGTAAATTTCATGCAAATGTAAAATCTTGAGAAGTAAATAATTCTTCACACAGGTTATGAGTCAATTTTTTTCTTTCTATATTAATGATAACATTATTTCAAATGCCTTAAATTGGAATTTATCTCCTTACCATAACATAAAATACACCCTGTTTGCAAGAAAGCAACTTTAGAAAAATAAAAGTTGATGTCAACAAAAATTTGACCCATATTTTGAGTAGCATTCGATGTATAATCTGTTTCTCTTGACAAAGTTTTCCTTTTGAAAAACTGTATTAAATGATAGAATGATCATAGTACAAAAACATTTATTTAAATTAAATATTTAAGACAAATCAATATCTACAACTGTTCCAAAGCATGTGTCGGTCTTAGAAAAAAGAAAAGAAAGGAACAGTTTAGCTTAATGTCTGTGGTAGTGTTTTTACAAGATTATTAATACATATTCTGGTTGGTACCAGTCAATCACATCCTCAGCAGTTTACTATTTATTACCAAATTTCATACACACAATAACAGCAGAAAGATTAATCATATCTTGAAAGTGATTTTACAATAAGACTTCTTGTAAGGAAAAAATGAATCATTTAACATACAAAACATAAGGGTATATAATAGAATATATAAAACACTTACATAGTTCATACAGGCAATAATATGCTGAAATTAAAAAAAAATTTAGTTCATTATTAGGTATGTTCCTTCAAAGGAGACTGGGGAAGGGGATGATGGCAATGTTTGAGGTTGGGAGAGGGCCAGGGTTCAGAAACACTTTTCCAAATCACAGTGCATTTTTGCTCTTTGGGAAGTAAGTAAAAGTCGAGTGCAGGCTGGAAAGATGTTCTAAAATGCAGGCTGAGCAACTGGCCTGAAGAACCAGTTGGCTTCTGAGGAAAAAACGATTCCCACCAAATCCATAGGAATTATGCTTGGAATCATAAACCCGGGTGCTCTATAAACTAATGCCCAATTTACAAGAGAAGGAAAAGAGGAAAAACTAGGAAAAGGAGGGAGAGAGATGGACACGGTCTTCTTACAGCCAGAGATATGTGCAGGGATATTGCTCAAGAAATAACCCAAGGTTTGAAGAAAGTAACACTGCTCCATTCTAGGAATGGGGAGTTGACATAAAGTTGTCATTGTTAACAATTAATAAGCACATCTCCTTTTGTATGCATAGCTACATACTTAAGGGTGGGTGTGCATGAACGAATGCATGTCTCACACACTTACTCTACCTCTTTAGACTATAGAGCTCTGGTGGCCCAATGGGTATGGAATTGTGCTGTCAACTCAAACGCAGGTAATGTGACTCCACCAGCTGCTTCACAGGAGGAAGATGGACAATCTCCTCCTGGGCAATTTACATGGTGAATGGTCAGCTATGAGTTGGTTCTGACTCAATAGTAATGAGTTATAGTCTTATGAAGTCGTGTGTAAAAGAAAGAAAAAAAGTAAGAATATGTCTAAAATTTCAAAAATTAAACCACTTAACCATAGCAATTATTTTCCTAAATCAAGATGTGTATGTATGTGTGTATGTATTTTGTTTCACTTTCAAATGAAGACCTGGTCTTTTTGGAAAAATGTCATAATTGTGAAAGTGTAGGAACCTTTGTGTTCTTGGATTGTGAACATCAAAACATCCCCAAATTGCACATTAGTGAGTTGACTGAGATGTCTCCTGTTAGGTAGGCTTGAGAGACTCTTAAGTCAGGAAAGTGGTACAGAGAGAACTTTAAACATCAAATCTGCTCCTTATTTTATGGATGGAAAACAGGCAGGAAGAGGGAGGAGACATGTCAGGCTGTCACCCAGTTCCTCCCAGGAGATCTCCCAGGGCCTGACTCCTCACCCAGTGCTCTGCTCTCATGAAAGGGCTAAGAAAAAGTGACTGCTTTTGAAGCAGGAGGGATGCAAATGCTGGGCTTTTCACACTTTTGTGTTAACAAGGTAGACAGGTCAGGAGAAATTCTGTTCCTGAACAGCATCTTCCATTCAGCAGCTACATTGTTTTATTCCCAGGATGTAGGTGATGAAAACTCATTTGAAGGAATACACTCAAAATGCAGGCTGAAGGGAGGAGAGAACTCAGTGGTGGTGGGAACTCAGTCAGGTGAGGGGGCACTTAAATCAGCAAGACCCCCTTTAGCTTTCAGAAGAAAAGCTCCCTGGGTCAGGAGTTCAGACGCCTCCACGCCCCATGGGCGGTTCAAGGAAAGCTGGTAATACTGCATAGTCTCTGGGCTCCCTCCGCACAGCTCTCAGGCAGGAGAGGGTGGCACGGGCAGGACTGCACCTGCAGCCTTGGAACTCTATGACACACTGTAGCTGTTGTAGTACGTTGCTGTGGCATCAGCCAGGACCGAGATGAGGCTGGTCTCCGTGGGGCCTGCTGATGTCACCTGGGAGACTGGGACATGCCCACTGAGGGCCACAGCCCCAGCGGAAGAGTCTAGGTGACCAGGAGTGTTCAAATACTGGTCGAACTCATTGCGATCCATGTCCCCCAGGAGTTCCACTTGGCTCAGCTGATCCAGGGCATCGAAGCCAGGGTGCTCAGGAGGAGGGGAGAGCTGGCCCAGGTGGGCATGGAGGTTGGAGTGGAGAGGATGGTAGGTCGCAGGGGAGTAATAGGCAGGAGAAGGGGAGCAGCCAGATACAGTGGACATGATAGACACACCTGGGGACTGGCCAAGGGGCAGGGAGCCCAGGGGGTGACTGCAGTGGACAGGGCTGGGGGCATACTCAGGGGAGTACGGGGGCCCTGGCAGGTGTGGGATGCGGTGGGCATGCGTGTGCTCTTCCTGGCAGCGGGAGGAGAAGAAGGTCTGCTCCGGCTCCAGCACGTCCAGCGGGGACATTTCTGGGGGCGTTGGAAGCCCGTACGGGTAGGTGTCCACACTGCCTGTGGTGCCGCCACCGCTGCCAGCTGGCCGCTCGTGGTAGCAGCTCCTGAGGCTGGGCATGGCATTGCCTGGGGAGTACTCACCCCTCTCCTCCTTCTCACCCAGAGCCCCCCGGGCCCCAGTCCTCTTCTCAGGCAGGCTGTTCTGGTCTCGGGAAAGGGAGCTCAGGAGGAAGCCCGGGTCCACACGCTTGCAGAGGCGCTTGACCTGCTTCTTCCTGCGAGGTCTGTACTTATAGTTGGGATAGTCCTGCATGTGCTGCACGCGGAGCCGCTCAGCCTCGTCCACATAAGGCCTCTTCTGGGACAGCGTCAGGGCCTTCCATGACTTTCCTGCTCACAAAAGTCAGAGAAGGCCACCTTCAGTATCTAAGACTCAAGCAATTGACCATCAATGCGCACACACAGGGCAGCCCCCTTACTCCCACCGACCTCCGTCCACAGACACATTAAGACATAGACTCAACATTCCTTTCCCTCCACAGCTCCTACAACTAGAGTGAGACCACCATCATTTTCTGGCTGCATCCCACAAACTACTTCATGAAAACTGTACATAAAGACACATCACCAAACATGCTGGTGGTTCTGGTAATTCTTAGGGACTTCCTCCACTAACCCAAAGATACATCATCTCTCATATAAAAGCCATCAGATGAGAGTAAATGATCTATCCGTGTATTATTAGCAGTTAATGATCTACCTGGCCCAATGTCAGCAAAGGGAAGGGAAAAACACATAGACCAATATATTGATTTGAGCTCATCTTACCCTTCAGTTATCATTTTTAGCCATGCGTGTATTTTAATGAAAACTCCTGCCATTGGTGCTTATTGCTACCTCTCAGGAAGTGATACTGTAGTATTTACTTATGGCATCAACCACACTGGCCTTCCTGTGAAGGAACTCAGGCTGAGTCAATAGTTTCACAGATGTAAGCAAATGATGTCACTCAGGTTAACGAATGACTGCCCCTTACATCTGAAGGTCAAGCAGGACCCTGCTGTTGGAAAACTGGGCCTTGGGTGGAATATGAGCATCTCCATGCAACATACACATACAACAAACATATGCACTGGCACAAATGCATGAGTGCACTCTTCCTGCACAAATGCCCACACACACCTAATGTACAAATGCACACAAACACACACACAGAAGATAGTGCTTACAGCCCAACAGCTGAGATCCTTCAACTGTGGCAGGGCCTATCTGCTCACATGATGCCTCTCCATACAAAATCCAACTCTTTAACTTTCCTAGGCTACTCTTTTCCTCGTTATTAAATAATGAAGGGAGCCCTGGTGGACTAGTAGGTAAGGAGTTCTGCTGCCAACCCAAAGGCAAGTGGTTCGAAGTTACCACCTGCTCCGAGGGGGAAAGATAGCCAATCTCCTCCCACGCAGTTTGTATAGACTCTGAAAACCCACTGGAGGGTCAGCTATGAGCCACTTCTGACTCAATGGCCAACAGCAAACAACATAAAATACACTGTGATGCTACGATGCATGCTCCAAACATTGCTGCTGAAAAGTGCACTCAGCTCACTTGTATTCTACTTGCGTTGTTAGTCACTAGCCTGTTCTTTTAGAAATTACATTTCCCTTTCCTTTCTTAATGTATGTTGTTCTACAATTTTAACAGCTTCCCCAGCTGACATATCATAAAGTCACTAATCCAGAAATTAGTGCCCTGGCTAAGTCTTGTAAGGAAAGAGGGGCAGTAGTCCACAGAGCCCAGGAGAGAGGACAGAGCTGGGTACCAGGTGGTTGATCAGAGTTGGGTTGTCTGGCTCCACAGGCCAAGGCTGTCTACTATTTGGATGAAAGTTTGTAACTATTTGGATGAAAGTTTGTAACTATTTGGTCAGAGTCACCAATTAACATAATTAGCTGCCACTTAAAAGGATAATTTGAAAAGTATTAGGAACTCTGGATTTGGGGATGGGAGGTGATGGTGAAAGTCAGTAATTCCCAGCTTGTGGCATTTCAAGAGGCACCAAATCTAAATGCACCTCATACATATATTGTCTGTGAACAGAGTAGGTAATGCAAAACTACTTTCCAAATGTACCCGGCCTTTGTAGCATTAATAAAACACGAGTTCATTTCTTTATGTTATTAAATATATAATTGTATGCATTCTTCTCATTTATAACATACTTAAAATACTAAGAGATGAGACTCTGACATGTTTTTCAAGTTTGGAAAGCTCATAGTAAAAAAAAGTTAATACTCCCAACAGAGCCCTTTAATAGAAAAAAAAAAAAATGAACAGCTGGGTAAGATTGTGGCAGTATAAGTACTTGAATCTGCTACCACCCAATTAACAAGTATACAGATCTCATCTTTAAAAATAACACCATTTTTGTTCCTCATGCAAAAGTGATCAACAAGATCTACTCCCAAGAAAGTGTTTGTCTTCTGAACCCCTCTTCCTAGAAGCTCCACTCAGCCCTGCTCACTGGCAGGGCTCTGACTTTGTTCTGGTCACAATCCTGGGGCTTTCTTTACTCAGCTGGACTAGAACAATAAAGCACAGTGTCTAGAACCCTGCAAAACTTTTAGAGAGTCCATAGAACGCTTATAGTTTCTTTTAGGTTAAAGAGAGTTTTAACATTAACATATAACATTTATCTATGTTTGTAACAACATGGTATAAATTATAACTTAATATTTTTCATGGACTCAAGTTGCTTTTCACAGAGGAATGGGCTCACATGACCCAAAGGGTCTAGGACGCAAAAAAGTCATAACGTGGCCCTGAGAAGGCTAGCTAGCTAGCTGGATCATAGGCAATAGGCCCTTTGAGAAAGACCAGTGGAAATTTAAAGCGCAGAAGGGCTCTGGGAACCCCCTCTTCTGGTCTGTGGTTTTATTCAGGAGGTAGGTGGGCATCACTTCCTCACTCCATAGTTCGACTCGAAGGAAAGAGCCCACAGCTCCAGGAAAAGGAAGGGCTCTCCTGTGAGCCGGGTGGGGCTGGGGAGGATAGCGTTACCAAAGGCCTTTCTCTCAGGGCCTGAAGCCCGCTGGGGGCATAAAATGCTTTCAAAGATTTCCTACAGTTAAAACGAATAAACATCACATCCAGAGGCAAAGAAAGAGGTATTTAGCTCCAGGCTTTAGAGAAAGAATCCAATAAAAAGGCCAGGTTTTTGGACCTGACCTAATGGCCACCAAGTCCTATAGAAACAGCCCTTGGGTCCTCTGGCCTGGCCCATCCCCAGCCCCGCCGCTCCTGCCTCTCCAAGCCGGGTCTGCGCTTTCATAACAACCTGAACTAAATTATACTCCTACGATCTAGAAATCAAAGATTTGCATAAAATTCTTTTGCTACTGTTTTAATAATTGCGTTCCTGCAAGGTTTCTTCTCACCATATTCGTGGTTGGTTTTTTTTGTTGTTGTTGTTGTTTGTTTGTTTATCTGCAAGAAGCAAAACCTTTGGGATTGTGACGATCATAAAGCCTAGGGCATCTTCCCCTCTTTGATATTTCTAGCAAATGTCTGTTCTATGTCCGGCTTTGGGGTTTCCGTTACCCGCCACTTTCTTGCGCGCGGGTTTGGATGAACCCGGGAATGATGAGGACACGCGACGTTAGCAGTCAACGGGTGGCCCGGGGCCAGACTGCAGCCTTCCAGGGGGCCCTAGCTTCGCAGCGCGGGTACACTGTCACTCTGCTCCTGTTCCCAACCAAAGGAGACTTCCAGACTGCGCAGCTTCATTTTGGGGCCTTGTTGACTGTGGCTCTGAACCTCTACAGTCCGCACAATCTCGCCTGCACGGTGAGCGCCCAGCGCGGTCTGGCGCGCGCGCGCACTCCCGGCGCACTCAGGCTTGCAACCGCCCTGGCTTTCCGCAGGCTCACGCGTTCGAGTGGCCCCTTCCCGACCTTCCCAAGCCTGAGTCCCAAACCTCTCCTTCACCTACACCGAGTTCGCCCAGGCTGGCCCGCCGACCAACGTCCCACTCAGCCTGCCGCTCACTCACTCACTCACCCAGCATCTTGCTGAGCTCGGCGTTGTGCAGGTCTGGGTTCTGCACTGCCAGCCGTTTCCTCTCGTCCTTGGCCCACACCATGAAAGCGTTCATGGGTCGCCGGATACGACTTTCCGAGCCCTTGTCCCCCGGGGGGCGCGGGGCGGCGGGCGGGGACAGTCCATCCGACAGCTCTGCTTCCAGAGCTGGACACTCGAGCCCCTCGGGCCAAGGGTAGGCTTCCAGCATCGTGGCCATGGCCTCACGGGGTCGCCTCGCGTGGCTTTGCTGCGCTCGCGCAGATCTGGCCCTCGCGCGGGTTCGCGGCGTCCAACTTGGCCGACAGCTGCGGTCTCTTATTTATCAGCTTCGGGCGGCCCGCGTCCTCCAATGACTCTCAAAGGTGGCGCGCCCCCTCCCTGCGGCTCCGGCCCAGCCCCGACCTGCCGAGGGGGAGGGACAGGGCCACCACTGGCGGCCGCCCCCGCTGCCC